AGTTCTAATCAGAGATAAGTGGTGACGATCTAGTACTTTCATTGTGTGTGCCCCTGTAGCCATCACGTCTGTGGAGCTATCGTAATTGATCTAGTAGAGGGAATCCTATTCTCACGTGAATTATATATCTCAAATAATACTATTCTGCCCAGGACAGCTTGTCTTGTATTTTAACATAAAAATAAAAATAGACTAATATTTTTGTATCACATACAATATACATTTCTGCTGACAATTCCGGTTCATGTTTTTTAATGGTACATTAGCAGAGCTCTGGTGTGGCCCAAGCATCTGTGGGTAGTCTCGATTTGACTTTGGCCGTTAAATCCTAAACAAACAATGAAACAATATATATATATATATATATTACTACATGTTCTGTATAATGCATGACTGAACGTAGAAACATTTTACAACCGTGACCATATTTCTACATGCAGATATGGGAAGTTTTCCTCAACATTTTTGTCGGTAGGGAATCGTTTTTATAATATTATTATTATTTTTCGGTAATATCATTATGACGTACCTGTCAATCATGCTGCCGAATCATATACAGTAAGTGGTAAATTAAAGAAACTGAAGAAAACACAGAGAGGAGTAAAGACTGTAGGCTTAATCGTCAGACATCCATCCGTCCAACATACCATTCTGTATTAGACTTTTTAAAGATCGCAAGCTAATCGTCAGACATCCATCCGTCCAACATACCATTCTGTATTAGACTTTTTAAAGATCGCAAGCTAATCATCAGACATCCATCCGTCCAACATACCATTCTGTATTAGACTTTTCAAAGATCGCAAGCTAATCATCAGACATCCATCCATCCAACATACCATTCTGTATTAGACTTTTTAAAGATCGCAAGCTAATCATCAGACATCCATCCGTCCAACAGACCATTCTGTATCAGACTTTTTAAAGATCGCAAGCTAATCATCAGACATCCATCCGTCCAACAGACCATTCTGTATCAGACTTTTTAAAGATCGCAAGCTAATCATCAGACATCCATCCGTCCAACAGACCATTCTGTATCAGACTTTTCAAAGATCGCAAGAAAAACATGAAAAGACCGACGAGCCGTGAGTGATACGTGTTATCACTAAGACTTAATGAATGTGTGTATCATTGCTGAAATATGTATTTTGTAATATCTGTGATTAAAAATCCTCCTTTAACTACATTTCAACTGTCGATATTAAGATTAATACATTATTAGAAGGCTGAGAAATCGAGATTAATTTAAAAACCCAGACTGAAGAGGTATCAGTGAGTGTATTTGTGTAATGTTATTTCTATGTATTATAGAATCGTTGTATGAAGTACATTCTGTAGTAACTTTAAATGACATTTGTCACATTTTGCCAACGATGTACAAAATTCAATCAGTTTGGTAATTTTTTATGTATGTTTTCCACACTTTGATGAAATCTGTATCGTTGTCCAATAAGAGCGGTTCTTTCTTTAAATGCCTTTTTTTTTTTGTTATTTTAGGTGTGTCAACATGTAGCAAGTTTTATCATTTTTATATCAACAGCGTCGTATATTTCAGAAATATTTTACATCATGGTTAATTTTCACCTCCGGTGTTTTCTACACTCGTGAAAATAGGGATATCACGTCCTTTGTGTGTTAGAAATCCACAACGTAAACTTTATTTATACGTGAATATGATCAAAGATTTTTGACTGATTTTAACGTTTAAAAGTTTCACCAAGACCAGTATAGAAATAAGGATGGTTTTGTATTTATTTTCATACTCTAATTCATTTTTCTCGAATTTTTTATATCTTAAACGTCTTTGAAACATTGTTGATGTTATCTTTGGTGTTCGTTTGACAGCCAGGTATATTCTGTCTCGAGTTAAGTATAACACTGATATCTTTTAATGTCATTAAGTGACTCATAATTTTAGCCTTTTGTCAAATCTGTGAAATCCTGCATTGAATGTTAGCGATAATTCACCATCGGAATTCTTTTCAGTTTTACTGATTTCTAATCCTGTTCTAAAAATGATTTGCATAAAATACAAGGTACATATTTCCTGTTGAAAGATAATCAACCGTAATATTCTATCAATGCATTCTCGATAGCCAAGAAACATATAACTGAATTTTCTATAATGGAATGTTTGCAAAGGCTTCGGGAATGAAGTAATCACATGCGTCTTTAGAGATTGATATTTAAATATTTGTATAAACACATAATGAGGTTCATTACTGGCCAGCTATTGTACATTGGGTAAATGTAAAGATGTGTATAAATGGCGCGAATGACTGTAACTTTCGTTCTCTATCGTTACACGAAACACATTTAGAATTGCATCACAGAAATCAGATCCGTACAATACAGAAAAAACAAAAAACAAAAAAAATGAATATACAATTTAACTTCTGCTTCATCGTCAACATCCGTCATGAATATTTTGGTGATTGTGATATACACAAAAACAACCTATATAACCTGATACATACATGATTACAGATCCTACATAAAACAACCTGGTACATACATGATTACAGATCCTACATAAAACAACCTGATACATACATGATTACAGATCCTACATAAAACAACCTGGTACATACATGGATACAGATCCTACATAAACAACCTGGTACATACATGATTACAGATCCTACATAAAACAACCTGGTACAAACATGGATACAGATCCTACATAAACAACCTGGTACATACATGGATACAGATCCTACATAAAACAACCTGGTACATACATGGATACAGATCCTACATAAACAACCTGGTACATACATGATTACAGATCCTACATAAAACAACCTGGTACAAACATGGATACAGATCCTACATAAAACAACCTGGTACATACATGGATACAGATCCTACATAAAATAACCTGGTACATACATGATTACAGATCCTACATAAAACAACCCGGTACATACATGATTACAGATCCTACATAAAACAACCCGGTACATACATGATTACAGATCCTACATAAACAACCTGGTACATACATGGATACAGATCCTACATAAAACAACCTGGTACATACATGGATACAGAGCCTTTATCAAACAACGCAGGACTTAAGTTATTACGACACATTTAGTTATATCCAATGTTACAGTTTTGAAGGAAGGTGTCTGACCGAACGATTTCATATTATTGGAAAATGTTGTAGAATATCGGAAAATAACAATCAAACATGCCATCAATCACTCGATGACAGATTTTGTTAATTGAATGTTCCAATTCTTTCGAACTTGGAAATACATGTGACCAGAAAAGCGGGAAGATTTATATAACATGGGTATCATACAGTGCGCGAAGTCAAGTGTTATTTAAACAGATATAGGTTTAATCTTTAATAGTGGGTGTGCAGTGCTGTGTCCCGGCAAAGGATTTACGAACAAATAAAATCCGGGGAATAGGAAATTCATCGATTTTCGTCTAGACTGCTAACTATTGAACCAAACATATCCCATTATGATACAGATATTTTTGGAATCTTTTCTCACATTAAATACACACTTTCTGAATATTTCATTATACCCTCTAATCCTTTCTCATTTATCAAGTGTAAACAAGTTTTTCAATGGATTTCTTTATTTTCATAGTTAATTCCATATTTTAAAAGCATTTACAAGAAAATAAATCGACTATAGGTCTATATAGATGATACCAGACCATTAGACTGCATCATAAAACACTGTCATAGCTTTAGTACACAGTCCCAAGTTACCTATAACCTTTCCGGAAAATTGACTTACTGAAGGTTGACCGACACGCATTCAGAATAATTGGTAAGGTCTTACATACTAGATTCATAGTGTCCTCAAACAACAAAAACATCGAATACAGCAGTATGTATATAACAAGATCAGGACATTCTATAATACTTTTAAGGATTTATCTGCTGGTACGCTAAAGGATAGACAACCACACGGATTCTGACGACTTCTTTGTCAATTTACCGTTTTAACGGGATTCCTGAAGAATATGTTAATTTTTTTTATAGTAGAACAGGTCCACAACAGCTTTGTGGTTTAATTGTAAGAGTATCATAACTATACTCAACTGCATTTTAAGGAGTTTGGTTTTTTTCTGGGTATAGGTAATTTGGAATTCTAGTCGTGGCACACCTAAATATTAACCACAGTAAATGGAAGGCTTTAATAGATAAGGTTTTGTCGGGGACATAGATACGTTTCCAGGAGATCTAGCGGTTTATCTAGGATCTCCAACCCCGTAAATGAAAAGGAAACGACGTCCGCTTTAAGAGATCGTCAATATATTACAGAAATGTATAGACTAGACACAATTACCTTTACTTAAATACTTATGTTTTGGATTTCTACGTGCTAAAACGGTTGGATACCCCAGCCACTTACAACACACAGCTATACACAGATTCTTATAGGTGTATGTACACAAACTAGTATTAAACATACAACAGCACTGTTGATGTATTTAAAGATTTTCGATTTTGACGGAAGCTATTCAGGTGAGTTGGTGTGAAAATGACATAGGTAAAGACAAGCGGTAATGACATTTGAAGTGACAATACCTAGCCTACCAACCACCCACCGCCTCGGAACAAGTGAGAGTGCCATTTGTTCACCGTTACATTTAATCGTGTCTCACCTAGGTAAATCTATATTGTTTTATTTACTTGTACTTCATTTATACATCGCTCCGTGCGTTCGTGGACATGGAAACCGCATTCTAATGGTATACCGCCTGGAGACACAGAACCACTGTGAACGTGGTATCCGCTGTCAAATATACGATAGCTAAAAATTTTTCACATAAATTTTTTTGATACAGTTATTGAGGAAATTGTTAGATCGGTGAATGAAACGTATGGGGATAACAATAGTTTAAGACTGATAATAGAGGAAAATACCAGATCGAGAACCTGTGATACGTCGTGATACCATCTGTTACAGTGAATTTTGTTTCTAATTTAATTTGACATCGTCCTGACAACATCAGGGTATTAAAAAATGCCGCCTTCAAACGAGAAAATGTGGAATACGAATTACATGGACACGTATAACAAGCGAAAGCCTCCAAGAAAATCCTATAAGTACAGGAAACCACTTGTGGTGCCCAAGGAAACGGCGATAGATACGGTAAGTTATTAGTGTTTGTACTGTCGATAGAGTTCAAATTAAACACGTTTGTATTCAATTACAAGAAACAATATTATGTTGTCCCACAATCTAAAACAACCCAAACTATAGCATACCGATAAAAGTATTTTTAAAGAAATCATATTGGAATGACTCCTTTGCGTAACGGGGACCATCAACCCCTTGTTATAGTATAGAGCAAGTATGAAATAGTATCAAGTGATGAGAACGCGGAGCAAGTGAATTAAAAATATCCCCCGATTTTGTTGGTATGGAGCCAGATTCAGGACGCCAGCCTGGCACAAAATGGAAAACTTACCAACATGGACATGGACAACATATCTAATAATGAATTAAGTCAACATAACTTACCATACAAAATCAACATAGAATTAACAAAGTTATAAATATATCTTTTTGTACCTACACCGTTCCATTGTTAAGATATCACAGCTAAACATCTTGATCATAATCACCTTTTCAAAAACTTATGTGTAGTGAGGTCAGAAATGTGAAAACATGCCTCCAAACTTTAAGTGTAGGGGTTTTGTGGTGGTCCTATCTAAATGTTGTACCAGCTGTTGATATGGTGTTACCAGTTGTAGACATGTTGTACCAGCTTCAGATAAGGCGTTACCAGTTGTAGGCATGTTGTACCAGCTGTAGATATGGTGGTTCTAGCTGTATATATGGTGTTACCAGTTGTAGGCATGTTGTACCAGCTGTAGATATGGTGTTACCAGTTGTAAGCATGTTGTACCAGCTGTAGATATGGTGGTACTAGCTGTAGACATGTTGTACCAGCTGTAGATATGGTGTTACCAGTTGTAGACATGTTGTACCAGCTTCAGATATGGCGTTACCAGTTGTAGGCATATTGTACCAGCTGTAGATATGGTGGTACTAGCTGTATATATGGTGTTACCAGTTGTAGGCATGTTGTACCAGCTGTAGATATGGTGTTACCAGTTGTAGGCATGTTGTACCAGCTGTAGATATGGTGTTACCAGTTGTAGGCATGTTGTAGCAGCTGTAGATATGGTGTTACCAGTTGTAGGCATGTTGTAGCAGCTGTAGATATGGTGTTACCAGTTGTAGGCATGTTGTACCAGCTGTAGATATGGTTTTACCAGTTGTAAGAATGTTGTACCAGCTGTAGATATGGTGTTACCAGTTGTAGGCATGTTGTACCAGCTGTAGATATGGTTTTACCAGTTGTAGGAATGTTGTACCAGCTGTAGATATGGTGTTACCAGTTGTAAGAATGTTGTATCAGCTGTAGATATGGTGTTACCAACTGTAGATATGATGTGATTAGTTGTAGGCATGTTGTACCAGCTGTAGATATGGTGTTACCAGTGTAGGCATGTTGTAACAGCTGTAGATGTGGTTCTACCAGTTGTAGGTATGTTGTACCAGCTGTAGATATGGTGTGACCAGTTGAAGGCATGTTGTACCAGCTGTAGATATGGTGTTACCAGTTGTAAGAATGTTGTATCAGCTGTAGATATGGTGTTACCAACTGTAGATATGATGTGATTAGTTGTAGGCATGTTGTACCAGCTGTAGATATGGTGTTACCAGTGTAGGCATGTTGTAACAGCTGTAGATGTGGTTCTACCAGTTGTAGGTATGTTGTACCAGCTGTAGATATGGTGTTACCAGTTGTAGGCATGTTGTACCAGCTGTAGATATGGTTTTACCAGTTGTAGGAATGTTGTACCAGCTGTAGATATGGTGTTACCAGTTGTAAGAATGTTGTATCAGCTGTAGATATGGTGTTACCAACTGTAGATATGATTTGATTAGTTGTAGGCATGTTGTACCAGCTGTAGATATGGTGTTACCAGTGTAGGTATGTTGTACCAGCTGTAGATATGGTGTGACCAGTTGAAGGCATGTTGTACCAGTTGTAGATATGGTGTTACCAGTTGTAAGAATGTTGTATCAGCTGTAGATATGGTGTTACCAACTGTAGATATGATGTGATTAGTTGTAGGCATGTTGTACCAGCTGTAGATATGGTGTTACTAGTGTAGGCATGTTGTAACAGCTGTAGATGTGGTTCTACCAGTTGTAGGTATGTTGTACCAGCTGTAGATATGGTGTGACCAGTTGAAGGCATGTTGTACCAGCTGTAGATATGGTGTTACCAGTTGTAGGCATGTTGTAGCAGCTGTAGGTATGGTTTTACCAGTTGTAGGCATGTTGTACCAGCTGTAGATATGGTGTTACCAGTTGTAAGCATGTTGTACCAGCTGTAGATATGGTGGCACTAGCTGTAGATATGGTGTTACTAGTTGTAGGCATGTTGTAGCAGCTGTAGGTATGGTGTTACCAACTGTAGATATGATGTGACCAGTTGAAGGCATGTTGTACCAGCTGTAGATATGGTGTTACCAGTTGTAGGCATGTTGTACCAGCTGTAGATATGGTTTTACCAGTTGTAGGCATGTTGTACCAGCTGTAGATATGATGTTACCAGTTGTAAGCATGTTGTACCAGCTGTAGATATGGTGCTACTAGCTGTAGATATGGTGGTACTAGCTGTAGTTATATTATCATAGCTGTAGATATGATGTACCAGTAATTGTGTGGTTCTAGCTGTAGATATGTTGGTATTAGCTGTAATTATATGACCCTAGCTGTAGATATGGTGATACAAATTGTAGTTATCGCCGTCTTACCGTCTTAACAATACTGAAGTGTTATAGAAAAGTCAATGAAAAGTATTGAACGTGTTATTCAGTAGAAAATCTATATACCTAATAAATTCACCAAGTCAATAAACTGTATCACAGGATATTGTGTCATTTGTCCACCTTACTTACATATACATATGTAAGTGTACGTCATCAGTACTGTCAGGGCTTATACAGGCCTCTTTCACCTTTTGTTATATGTTGTCAGTTATAACCTGACACATACCAGATTATTGGATACATAACATTGCCACACTCATTTAAAAAATCTCAGATCTAATATATCAACAAGGAATGTTTCCTTTTGTAACGATTCAGTCTGAAATCTTCCTTCACGAAGTGTCGGGATATTTAACAAATTGTGCTCGGATATGAAACAGACCGGTTTTCAACAAAGAATTTCGGTGTTAATAAAAAAGGCAATCAATGCAGAAAAACTCCACTTATCGCTTTTTATGAAGCTAAGATGACAAATCAAGTGTTTTTCGTAATAACGATCTGTCATTGTTTTGTCAACAAATCACCCACCGGCACATTATCAGGAACAAATTCTTTAAGATTCATATTATGTGGCCTCATTACTTCTTTCAAGTTGTATATTGAAGTCATATCAGATATCTAATTGAGAACAAAAGTGACACAGGCCTGGGTAGATTTGTTAATCACAGGTCCATAGACAGCTTCATGGAATTCTTCATAAATATAGGTCAATAACTTCACCTACATACCCTCCAGGGCTACATATATATTGTAGTAGCATATAGTCCACTATATCTTAGAAAGAGAGTTGTACTACACTGTATGACCTGACTGAATATTTGGTCAGACCGTATGTAATGATAGTTTAACTATAGATCTGGGTCGTGGCTGTTAATTGTTTCTTGTCATGAGTGATATAAAGCGCGGTCACTGGACCAAGGAGCTTGGTTTGGCTTCAGATTCCACTATCTCATTGATATATCATCGATATAGTTAGATACCGCTATTGGTTTTACAAGATGTCTAGATAATGTGGAATAGTTTTATTGTCTTTACACACGCACCGTGCTCTTACGGTTTACCAATCATTTATAAGTAATTTACATGTGTCCATTTCCCTTCCCACAGAGTTTCTGCCTTGAGTTTGGCATATTCAGTGTTCACAGATCGTGTTTCGAACATGACAGAAATTGTAATTTTGTGAAAACACTTAAAGTTTGGAAAATTTATCAAAATAACACAGGGGTTAGAGAGGCGGGTGAAGTCTCCGTGTCAATCTGAAATTACAGACATACTCGTAGTCTCCATGTTAATTTGAAACTTCAATCTTAAAATCGAGGTACAGTTTATATTTTCTGGGTTTTTTCGATGTCGTTGATCAATTATATACTTATTTATGTTTTATAATCAAAGTTAAATTGTTCTACTTTCAATTCTTTAATAAAAACAAACCCCAGATATGAAATTAAATACTTTTTTCAGAAAAATGCTTACTTCAAAATTCCTGCGATATTGAATACGGTGAGATATAAAACCTGACAGGGAGATAGCCTTCATTTAAAATTGCAAAATGTTTAAATGTAACGTTGAAATGAAATGTGACTTATAAAACCTGAATAAAAAGAGATTTGTTGCACTGTTTGTTTGCGGTATAATTTGACAAAACATAATTGCTTGATCTTATTTGGCTGTTTAACAACGTTTACAAGATTGACAATGATGATTCCGATAGGTAGACAATACACCGTTGTCATGTGTTTGTCATTATAGTGGTTAAGTAAATGAAAAAGCTTATCTGTAAAGTGACGCTGCGAGTGCCTTATGATTGGGATGGAATTCTCTCTACACCATACATAGTAACGGCTGATGACTGATAAATCACAATTAAGTTATCAAATGTGTTCATATAAATGCATTATAATCAATCATTATTTGGTTCTGCTGTATATCTGCCGTGATCTATATTGGTGATATCCAGCTGATTATGTTTACCATATAAGTGCTTTAGAATTATATATATAAATTAACGAGTTGCTCTGACCTCCGGCCTAATTAAATGTACGACATCTATATAGCTCTGGTTACCGCTAGCAATACTGTGACTGATTTATCACGCGGCTTCAATACAATACCAAGTAAATATTTTCAATTAATTATGTGACAAGTAAAAGTCATTTTCGTAAACAGTTGACCTTTTGTTCACGTATTGGTGAATATACTAATTTCCATTACAAGATATCACAGGTCAGTGGGTATTGCTTACTAAAGGCGTATTCGCTTCGTTAGGTCTGGACCCATGACTGACGTCACTACAATTGT